TTGAGAAACACTTGTCTAGACAAAGATTTGGGGTGATTTAGAAGCCCCCTCCCCACAAACGAAGCCCAGCTCGCCCACAGGGCAGCTGAGCCTCCCTCGCTGTCTTGTTGTGCAGGGTGAGAGGGCGCACCCGAGCGGGTCTGATGAAGGAACCACAGGTAGTCCTCAAGTTAGGACCGCCATTGAATCCCAGAGTTCTGTTGCTAAGGAAGGCAGTTGTTACGTGAGTTTTTGCTCCATTTTTGCCACCGCTGTGAAGCGAATCGCTTGTGTCGTTCAGTGAATCTCATGGCCGGTAAATGAGTCCGACTTCCCTGCTTCCTGTCGGAAGCCCCCTGGGAAGAAGGTCACAAAGGCTGACCACGTGACCTTGGGACGCTGCAACCGTCATAAGTACGAGTCCTTTGCCAAGTGCTTCAAGTTCGTTTAGCGGCTGCTCAAAGTTACGACGGCCCTGAAAAACGTGACTTGTGACCGTTTCCCATGGTTATGACCTTCCGCACGTCCCCTGATCAGAATTCTGAGTCCAGCTGGCAACGGACTCAGAGTTATGACTGTTGTGTGATTCCCTCACGCGACCGTCTGATGAATGAAGCCAACGGAGGGGAGGGGGGACCAGATTCACTTAACAACCAGGGGGCTAACTTATCAATCACAGTGACTTGCTTAACGGCTGAGGCAAGAAAGGTTGTAAAACGGGGCAAAACCTAACAAACGTCTCCCTTAACAACTGAAATTTTGGGCTCCCCCAAAAGTCGAGGATCCCCTGTGTGATGGGATGCTATGAAACACCCCCCCCCATCTTTCCCCCCTTTTCTCCTCCCTTCCCCCCACTGCAGGGGCCAAGCCATGGGGAGCCCCGCGGAACCACTGAGTGCGCTGGGCCGCTGGTACCTCTATGCCCTTCACGGCTACCTGGCGGAGGTGCTGTTCACGGCCTCCTGGGACTTCGCCACGGCACGAGACTGGCGCTTCCGCGGAGGCAGCAGCGCCTGGGTGCCCTTCATCTATGGCACCTGCGGGCTGATCCTGGAGCTCCTCTACCTGCGCCTGAGGGGCCGCTGCCGCCTGCCCACCCGCGCCGGGATCTACACCGCCTGCATCTACCTGTGGGAGTTTGGCACGGGCGCGCTGCTGCGCCACTTCGGGGCCTGCCCCTGGGACTACAGCCACTTCGCCTACAACTTCATGGGGCTGGTCACGCTGGAGTACTGCGGCTTCTGGTTCGTGGGCTCCATCCTGCTTGAGACCCTGGTCATCCACAACGTCCTGCGGCTCCGGGTGGACGGTGCCCAGAAGACCCTCCGGTCCCGCGTCACTTTTGCGCTCAAAGAGGACTGAGTTGGGGAGGGGGGAGGGAGAACCACCCGCTGTTTCTTCCCGGAAGAACCACCCACAGCCAGGAGACCACCCCCTGTTCCTGCCTGGGAGACCCCTCCCCATTTCTGTCTGGGGGATCCACAACCTGTATCTGTCCAGAGACCGACTGACTCTCTTTCTGCACGGAGATCCACTCCTTGTCCCTGACCGTGAGACCCCCTCCCCATTTCTGCCCAGGAAATCCCCCCTCCCCCCGTTTCTGCCTTGGAGACCCCTATTGCTCCTCTCCCTCCCCTTCAAAAATTCAAAACTTTTGTGACTAGGCTGAAATCTTCCAAAATGCTACAAAGTGGAGTAACCCTGACTTTTAATTAAAGGGGAATTGATTTGAGATTTTGTCCTGATCCTGTTTTGGCCCATGTGATGCTCGCCTACAATTTTTTGGCCCCCAAAGGTTTGCAATTCCCTTCAGAATCTTCCTCCGCCCCCTTAGAAACCCTGGCTTGTAAATCAGGAGAGCGGAGGGACAGCCTAAGGTAACCCCAGATGAATCACGGCTTGGCTTAGCAGGATGTGCAGACCCAATTCCGGAACAGCTTCATGCTTAATTTGAAGGCAGGGCTGCCTAAACCAGGAAGCTTTAAGAGTTGCGGACTTCAACTCCCAGAACTCCCCAGCCAGCACAGCTGGATTTCTGGGGACTGAAGTCCACAATTCTTAAAAGTTGCTTAAAGAGTTTTTAAGAGTTTCTTAAAGAGTTTGGAGACCTCTGCTTTAAGGCATGACGGTTTAGCTGAGCTGTAAAAAGGATTTGCTCCAGGCTGCTAGGAACAAACCCTGCTTTTCAAACTAGGATTCATGCAAACAAGCCATAATCCTAGAAACCACGCAGAGCAACATCCAGGTCAGGATCTCTCCTTCCTCCCTAATCCATGGCGTATCCTGGTCAGGCGGACACGGTGGATTAACAAAATTGGAGCCCACGGAGGAAGGATTAGAGGCGTCACGCACCGCTCCCAGCTAAGCTTTGAATGAAATAACCAGTCCTGAAAAAGACATGTTCAACGCTTAAACCTACATGCACAACCGAGGGGAAAATCAGTGCCAAACAAACCACTTCAAGGATCTCAATTTTCTGGGCCAGGCTGGGTTGGGCAGAAGGTCCAATAGCAATAGCAATAGCAGTTAGACTTATATACCACTTCATAGGGCTTTCAGCCCTCTCTAAGCGGTTTACAGAGTCAGCATATCGCCCCCANCACGAATTCACATCACGTGTCGGAAAGTGAATAATCTGAGCCTGGACGTTTGTGCCTGGAGGGAGAACTCTGGATTCCGTGATTCCTTTGGATCAGAGCCAGTATTTCTGGCCCAGGTGGCTTCCTGCCCTGGCCTACCTCGAAGGGCTGATGTGGACACAAGTGCCCCCAAAGCCCCCTTCTCCCTCCCTGGCCACAGGGCCCTAAAAGACACCCTCGGTCCTTATGGGGGGAATCCCCTTTCCTTACCTGGACTTCAGAGCAAAGTCTGACATTTCAGGCCAAGGAAGCCACACACACACACCGCCTTTTTTAAAAACAAAATTCAACACCTGCACTTGCCAAAATTAGCATCCCGCCAGGTAAGGATGCCCTTCTCTTCCTCACCTGCTCCCAGGGTTACCTGTCCTCCCCAGCCCACTTTGACCCACAATGGCACCTGCCCACGGCTGCTTCTGCCCTGAGCTGCCCCCCTTCTGGATTCAGACCTCGCAGTTCAGGTGTCTTGCTCTCCTTGGCAGCTGGCTCGTACTTACGACGGCCGCCGTGTGCCGAAGCCACATGATTCCCCTTCTGACCAGCAAAGTCAATGGGGAAGGCAGCTTCACTTAACAACTTGGGGCAAGACTCTCCCTTAGCAACAGAGAGTTTGTGGTCATACGGCGAGGACTACCTGTAAGCAGGAAGCCCACGGGGAGCGGGGGGGGCAGGCTCAGGGCCAAGGCTACAATTGGGGTTCGGCTTCCTGTTTACCAGCCTGGCTGGGGAGGTGAAAAACACCCAGCAGGTGCCAAGCCAGCTGCCCCAGGGAAGCCTGGAGGGCTGGGGCCGAAATCCAGAGGCAAAATGCATGGCGCAGGGGTGGGGGGACGACAGGCAGGTACTCGCCCCTGCCAGGACGTGCCCAAAAGCACCAGGGGTTCTGTGGCACCGGGCTCAGCACCCTGGGCTTTAAGCCGGACACTCGGTGGCTTTGCCCAATTAATGACACCTCTTTGAAGCCCTGTTTGCGAGAGCTCCATCCCTGGAGGTAAGAAGGAAATGTTGCATCCGGCTGAACCACCCGGGCCTCCTCCCCAGGTGAGCTCCAGGTGACTGTTGTGTCTTCCAGGGACGGAGGAACAGAGGACCCAGCCAGCAGGTGACTCAGCCACAAAACAAAGCACAGGGCAGGCTCTGTGGGGCCAGGGAGGCTCCCCAGGCACCTCTCTCTCCGCCCCCCAAAACAAAACTTGGTGCAGATTTACTCACAGGGAGACCTTCTCGCACCTTCCTTCCTGGACACCTGTCTCGTTTGTGGGTCTGTTAGCACGAGCGAAGCCTGTAGCATCTCCGGGAGGTAAGAAATTTGTGCGGATGGAGGCAGGTTGTGAGTTTGGGAGGCTCTTTGGATGCTTCCGGGAAGAAGCTGACCAGGGACGCTAAGGGGCAAGTGGAACTCCCCACCACAAGATGCCCGAACGGGCCCAGCTCAGGAGGTTTGGGAAGGATGAAAAGAATTTGGGGAGGGGAGAGGGGGAACCTGTTGAAGGGCTGGTCTCCAGGTGCTCCTCAGGAGGGGTGTGTGTGAGTGGGAGGGGGGCAGGGGGGCGGAGACCCTCCCGAGGCCCAGATGGAGATTGGGAAGCTGTCCCTCTGGAGGTGGCTATGGATTAAACAGAAGACCCCCAACTCTACCTTGTTGAACGCAGGTCCCACCTTAGCTAACGTTCGGTTAATTCTAATGTTGTATTTCTTGTTTTTTTTTAATGGGGGGGGGTGTCCAACCTTGAAGATCTGTGGACTTCGTTTCCCAGAATTCCCCAGCCAGCAGAGTCTTAAAGTGCCCACATCACATTTGGAAGCGTTGTTTGTATGAGGCTAAGAGTTGCCCAAAGTCCCTGGTGCTGAGATGGGCAGCCTATAAATTTAATCAATAAACATTAAAAAAAGCGCAGCTGGTGGGCAGCCCTTGCAGACCCCCACCCTCTAGACTAGTGTTTCTCAACCTTGGCAACTTGAAGATGTCCGGACTTCAACTCCCAGAATTCCCCAGCCAGCATTCGCTGGCTGGGGAATTCTGGGAGT